AATCTTCTGGAGCATTGCACAATCTATGATTATATTCAATTGGTGTAGCCACTGATTTTACACCCTAATTTTCTGCAATGTCCGGCCTTGTATGGGACAAGTAAATCAATTTACCTTCAAGCCTTTGATACAAGCCTTTATCTACCACAAAATCTTCTGGAGCATTGCACAATCTATGATTATATTCAATTGGTGTAGCCACTGGTTTACACCCTAATTTTCTTGTTTCCTTCAGCAAATCAAACACATATTTTTGTTGGGAAATAATGATTTCTTGTTTTGAGTGTGCCACTTCAATTCCCAAAAAATACTTTAATTTCCCAAGCTCTTTGATGTCAAATTCCTTGAGTAAACACTTCTTCAAATTTTGTATCTCCTCTGAATCATCACCTGTTACTATGATGTCATCAACATAAACTAATAATGCTGTCACCTTTCCTGTTTTTGAGTGTCGTATGAACAAGGTATGGTCTCCTTGACTTTTTCGATACCCTAGCTTGATCTTAACCTTTGTAAATCTTCCAAACCATGCACGAGGTGATTGCTTTAATCCATAGAGTGCCTTCTTCAGTCTACACACCATTCCCTTCTTGCTTTCAAAAGCAGGTGGCACCTCCATATAGATCTCCTCATCTAAGTCTCCATGTAAAAAGGAATTTTTTACATCAAATTGTTGTAGGTTCCAATTAAAAGTTGCAGCCAATGATAATAAGATTTTCATTGTATTCATTTTTGCCACAGGGGTAAAAGTCTCCAAATAATCAATTCCATAGGTTTGTGTATAACCCTTTGCTACCAGTTTGGTTTGGTGTTTTTGATGGTTTAACAGGTGCAGGATGGGTACTAGGAGCAGTAACCTTACGAGATGATTGCAGCTGAGTAGTTTGATCAGTTAGCCTCTTTCTTCTGGAATAAACCTGCAATGGTAGATTATTTTCTAGAATTCCATTATCTATATCCAGATTAGGAGACTCAATGAGTTCATTTGGGATTTTAGAGACTCAGGTGACCAAAGAAATGATGACTCAGGCAAGGATTTTGGCACGACCAGAAATAGAAAAATCAAATAGTGACAAGTCTAGAGGTCCCTCTCCCTTCAATGACTCCCCCTGATTGTAAGAATGACCAAAAAATGATTCACTCTCATCAAACGTAACATCAGCTGAAACAAAGAATTTCTTTGATGATGGTTGATAACACTTGTAACCTTTATGAGTAGGAGAATATCCTATGAAAATACACTTAAGAGCATGTGGGTCTAATTTGCCTCTATTTTGAGAATGAATATGAACATAGGCAACACTCCCGAAGATTCTAGGAATCAATTTATTGGAAATTTCAAAATTAGGAAAGAAATTCCTAATAGTATCAAGCAGACTTTTAAAGTTCAGAATTCTTGATGGCATTCTGTTACTAAGATGTGCAACAATTAGGACAGCTTCCCCCCAATACTGTTTTGCCACCCTTTTATAAAACAATAGTGATCTAGTAATGTCAAGTAACAAACCGTTTCTTCTCTCTGCTATCCCATTTTGTTGAGGAGTATTGACACATAAAGATTCATGAATAATTCCCTCTTTATGGAAGAAAACAGAGAGGGTTTGATTAAAGTAGTCTTTGGCATTATCAGATCGGAATCTTTTAATAGGCACATCATATTGGGTTTTGATCAGATTAAAAAAGGTGGGAAGAATTCGACTAACATCTAATTTTTTCTTTAGCAAATAGATACACGTTACTCTTGTACAATCATCAATGAATGACACAATCGTTCAGCACCAGAAATATTAAGAATTGGAGAGGGTCCCCAAATATCACTATGAATAAGATAAAATGGAGTTTGACTTATTTTGTGACTAATTGGATAAGAAACCCGTTTGTGTTTTGCAATTTCACAGTCATCACAATGAAAAGACTCAACAATCAAATCTTTGAACAAAGATGGAAACATCATTTTGATTGCATAAAAGGAAGGATGACCTAACCGACGATGATAAAACCATACTTTTTCTTTATTGGACATAACAGATTCTGACAAGAATGAACTACAGACAAATTTTTGGGGATAGGAATTGTGTGGAGGTTAGAGAGAAAAGTTTTATGTTTTGGGATAGATTTTGATATGTCACGAAAAGGCTCAAAGAGTGTTGTGTGCAAGTCCTGGTTCCTTTTCTGAGGGAATGGGAAGGTCAAGATCATTAAGTTGGTTAGGTTCTTCATGATCAGTTTGGTTTGGTGTTTTTGATGGTTCAACAGGTGCAGGATGGGTACTAGGAGCAGTAACCTTACGAGATGATTGCAGCTGAGTAGTTTGATCAGTTAGCCTCTTTCTTCTGGAATAAACCTGCAATGGTAGATTATTTTCTAGAATTCCATTATCTATATCCAGATTAGGAGACTCAATGAGTTCATTTGGGATTTTAGAGACTCAGGTGACCAAAGAAATGATGACTCAGGCAAGGATTTGGCACGACCAGAAATAGAAAAATCAAATAGTGACAAGTCTAGAGGTCCCTCTCCCTTCAATGACTCCCCCTGATTGTAAGAATGACCAAAAAATGATTCACTCTCATCAAACGTAACATCAGCTGAAACAAAGAATTTCTTTGATGATGGTTGATAACACTTGTAACCTTTATGAGTAGGAGAATATCCTATGAAAATACACTTAAGAGCATGTGGGTCTAATTTGCCTCTATTTTGAGAATGAATATGAACATAGGCAACACTCCCGAAGATTCTAGGAATCAATTTATTGGAAATTTCAAAATTAGGAAAGAAATTCCTAATAGTATCAAGCAGACTTTTAAAGTTCAGAATTCTTGATGGCATTCTGTTACTAAGATGTGCAACAATTAGGACAGCTTCCCCCCAATACTGTTTTGCCACCCTTTTATAAAACAATAGTGATCTAGTAATGTCAAGTAACAAACCGTTTCTTCTCTCTGCTATCCCATTTTGTTGAGGAGTATTGACACATAAAGATTCATGAATAATTCCCTCTTTATGGAAGAAAACAGAGAGGGTTTGATTAAAGTAGTCTTTGGCATTATCAGATCGGAATCTTTTAATAGGCACATCATATTGGGTTTTGATCAAGATTAAAAAAGGTGGGAAGAATTCGACTTAACATCTAATTTTTTCTTTAGCAAATAGATACACGTTACTCTTATACAATCATCAATGAATGACACAACCGTCTAGCACCAGAAATATTAAGAATGGGAGATGGTCCCCAAATATCACTATGAATAAGAGAAAATGGAGTTTGACTTCTTTTGTGACTAACTGGATAAGAAACCCGTTTGTGTTTTGCAATTTCACAGTCATCACAATGAAAAAGACTCAAACAATCAAAATCTTTTGAACAAAGATGGAAACATCATTTTGATTACATAAAAGGAAGGATGACCTAACCGACGATGATAAAGCCATACTTTTTCTTTATTGGACATAACAAATTCTGACAAGAATGAACTGGATAGGAAATTCTTAGTTGTATCTCCACCATTGTGGACATCCAGACAATAAAGACCACCTTTCTCACTAGCACGCCCAATCATCTCCTTCGTGTTCTGTTCCTGAAATAAGCAATATGAAGGGAAGAAAGTTACTTGGCATTTGGAATCTTTGGTGAGTTTCTGGATAGAAATGAGATTTGCATATAACTTTGGGACATCTTTAAGTATCAAGGATTTCCCCAGTGGTATGTCTCCTTGTCCAGCAACAGTAATAACTGAACCATCAGCTATAGTTATTTTTTATAGCTAGGAGAAGGAGAATATGATATGAAGAGATGAGAGGAACTGGTCATGTGATCAGTTGCCCCGGAATTAACCACCCATATTGGGAGAAAGTTTGTCTGAGACATTAGTAACAAAAGAGCAAGAAATACCTGTGAAGGCCAATGAACAACTACCTGCTGAAGTAGAGTGTGGATTTGCTTCATCAGGAAAAGAAATTATAATTTAAATTGAATTTGGTGAAAGTACCCAAAATCGATTGATTAGATCGGGTATGGGTTCCACACCCACGTCGTGTCAACATGGGAGTTACACCGAAAGTGAAGAGTCTGAGCGATTTAGGTGTGAGGCAACCCACTCACTTAGAATATATTCATAGGCACAGTTGATCACTCTGAGAAAACCCCTAGATATTTTAAATTATCTAAGGAAGTTCAAAGCTCAAATGGCACAGTTGATCATGACAAGAATCTAGTCAACCAAGAAATGGGAGATGATGATAACCTCATTCTCCGTGTGGTGGCTGGTGCAAATGATAGAACGACTATGGTAAAAGATACAATCCAGGAAGCAATGACAGCTATTCAGGCTAATGAAGATTTTGTTGACCAAGAAATCGATGACGATGATGAAAACCTTATTATCAATGTAGTGGCCGGTGCAAAGGATAGAAACACTATGTTCAAAGATCCAACCCTGGAAGCAATCACAGCTATTCAGAATTCGCTATCCAAGGAATCACGACTTGCTACAGATATACAAAAGGAAGGAAGGACGATGCCCTCAAACAGAAAGCGTAAAGCACCTTCAGAGGTTAAAGATGGTGAGGTACATACTTTGCTGTCTAAAGCTGAAGCAAAGCAGAGTTTGGAATTCAAACGAGATAGCCAGCTATTAAATAGAAGTACCAAATTGCGAAAGAAGTCTCCATGGAAAGATCTCGTTAGTGCTAGTAGTGGTGCTACATTCAGTGTATTGGATGTTTTGCTGAGTGCTATTCCTGGTAAAGAGATGCAGTATGGCTCTGATGGTGTTAGTGAGTTCTCCTCTGACGAAAAAGATGAAGTAACAAACGATGAGAAAGTATCAGATCACCTTGAAGAGCTGGATAAAGTTGAATCTGAAGATGAAGTATCAAACGATGAGGAAGTATCAGATCAGCATGAAGAGCTGGATAAAGTTGAATCTGAAGATGAAGTATCAAACGATGAGGAAGTATCAGATCAGCATGAAGAGCTGGATAAAGTTGAATCTGAAGATGAAGTATCAAACGATGAGGAAGTATCAGATCAGCATGAAGAGCTGGATAAAGTTGAATCTGAAGATGAAGTATCAAACGATGAGGAAGTATCAGATCAGCATGAAGAGCTGGATAAAGTTGAATTTGAAGATGAAGTATCAAACGATGAGAAAGTATTAGATCAGCATGAAGAGCTGGATAAAGTTGAATATGAAGAGAAATTATCAGATCAGCATGAGGAGCTGGATAAAATTGCCACTGACAATTTAGTTGCCCCTGTAGATATTTATGTCAGAGGTGCTGCGTGGCGACAAAAATCTTCATGGACAGAATTGGTTCGTGATGCCAACAGAAGTTCTTTCAGCATTTCGCAAATTTTGCCTGGTCTAAGTCTTCCAAAACCAGAGTTGCCAGTGATGGGAGAGACTGGAACAGCACACAAATCTAACAGCACGGATAAAAGTAATTCTCAAGATTTTTCTGTAGAGGAGCAGAATAATGTTTATTTCAGTAAAAAGCTTCCAGTGTTGGACGACTATCAGAAGAAAGAAACAATGAAGAATGAAGGCAGTGCTCCAACTCCCGAAAAGGAACACGTATCTGCATTAAAACAAGTACTTGTAGGAGATACTAACTACAACGAAACTTGTTCTTTCATGAGGAGTGCTGCTTGAATGAAGGATTGGACGAAAACGAAAGCAGCACTATGTGGGTCACTCAAGAAGAAGACTAACTAGAAAAAGTAGTGGATACTTCAGAATAGCTTCATGTAAGATATGACAGCTCCAAGTTACATGGACAATGCAATTTCCTTTTCATTTGGGTGCTCAATTCTTATTTCAGAATCAGTTGTGCCATTCTTGAATCTGTAGTTTTCCATTTGAAGTTTATACATGGACATCCTTCTGTTGAAAAAAACACACAATTAAATTCAATTAAACTATCTAGGCTGCATTTTACACTCTTCTTCGATTTTGCTCCGGTCCGCTGAGTTTGTCTGCTTCTCAGATTACTTCAATTT